CATCTCTGGCCAGCCTCATGGAGCAGCGGCGGCGCTCTGTGACTGGCGGGCTTTACTCTGATACTGAGCAACAAATCTTTAGAGCTGCCACTGTGAGTTGATTCACAGATAATCAATTATTTAGAAAACTAATGAATCGTTTTTCAAGCAAAAATGCCAAATAACTGACAGTTCTAGTTTCTCAAATGTGAGGATTTGCTGTTCTTTGTTCTCCTACTTTATAATAAACTTAAGATTCTTGGCTTTTGTACTATTACTCCAACAAATCCAGATGTGTGATCCAGAAGACTGCGCTCTTTTCACCGTTTGACATTTTATAGACCAGAGAAAATAACTGCTAGTTCAACAACAAAACAAACACATGGTGACATGGACATGCATCATGCGGAGGATGGGAGAGGAAGCAAAAGCAGTACTACAGGGAACTTGTGCCACATCCCTTATGGCAGCAGCTTTACTCTGTAACTACTTGTGTACTCAGCAAAGGACTAGAAACCCATCTTAGATATAAACAAGGGAATCAGATGCTTTCAAAGTGGGGAACAGGGATGCCTGATGCACATTCACAGCTCAAGGAACACTGGACACGCTGCTCTTCAGTTAGCCGAGTCAGGTCTCCTGGTTTGTCCGTGCAAAGGATCGAGCAACAGCTGATGTTTTGAACCACTGTGCCCATCGATGGTACATCAGCTGTTACTGTAACAATATGCTGCTCTGTGAAAAGGCACCTGCTTGATGTTTGAACACACACAGTTGTGAGTGAGGCTTCATTAGTGATAAACAATACTTCGTCTCTGAGCTGAGCAAAGACACGAAGCCTGTGATTTTAACCAGGCCAGTGGACAACGTCACGCTAGCCTGCTCAGGGTGATTCAGCCACAGCAGCTGGACACTTTGTTCTACAGTAGGACGTGGACACAGCAGTGGTCCAGGTACCCAGGTGTCTGAATTAGTGAACTATAAATGACCAACCACAGGGCTGCTGGCAGCACCTTTCCCCACCCTGGGCTTGCTCCAAAATGGGACTGGGACAGTGGAGAGGTGAGGGAGGACTGTGGTCAACCAGTCAGCAGCCAGTCGTGCGGAGCAGGGGACAGTGGGGTAGAAGGGATGTGTGGGGGCAGATTCTCTTACCTTTACCTGGGGAGACTGCAGCTTCTGGTACATCTCCAAGGAGTAGTGATGGAGCCAGATCTCCACAAACATCTTAGGAGAAGGAATAAGTGTGGGCTTGATTATCACACCCTCACAACAAGACAACCTGCATGTCTTTAAGTCTGGTGTTTCCACCCTCTCTGAACACTGCTGCTCCTTTTCTTTGTTACAGTAACATGAGCGTATTTGGGTTTTGGACCATCCTGAAAACTATTTGTAAACCTCCCCTTCACAATAACAGTAAAGACGCTCATTTCCCAATCATTGTGATATTAAGCAGCAAATTAACTGGTCATCAAAACAAACCCAGATGACTTCATTACAGTTTCTAAGGACCAGATGTTTGTAAAACAAAGTGGTGTATAAGTACTCCAATTGTTTGCTTAAGCAAAAGTAGCAATACCACAATATAAAAATACTCTGTTACAAGTCCTGCATTCAAAACGTTAAGGACCAAAACTACTTAAAGTACTAAAAGTACTCATTCTGCAGAACAACACATTACATGAGAATGTACATCATATTACTGGCCTATAATTATTGATGTATTATTGAGTACATCACATTTAATGTTGCAGCTGGTAAAGGTGGCGCTTGAAGTACTTTACATACTTCTGGGTAGCTCGTGCCAGGGATCAATTAAGTCTTATGATAATACTGCATTTTATTTTATTCATCTCATTCTGGAAAGTAACTAGTAACTACAGTTATCACATACATGTGGTGAGTAAGAAGTACAAATGTTTTCTCTTAAATGTAGTGAAGCTGAAATATGAAGTAGAAAATAAATACTCAAGGAGAGATGACAACATTGTACTTAAGTAAATGCCCATGAAAACAAACATTGTGAGAATCTTTCAGACTGAGGACACGCTGAAGCTCTCAGCCATAAAACTCACTTCTAACCCATTTGACCTGCATGTTGTGTGCACGGGGAGCACAGGAAGCCACAGCTGATCAGTGCCTCACCTGCAGCAGTGTTTCAGACCTCCAGATTTCCTGGGCTGCAGGGTCTGCGTTCACAGAGGGCTGGTGGAATATGTGATGTTTCAGGAGACTCGGGCTGTGAACGCCATAACCAGCAAACGAAACACTGGAAGACCTGTGGAGTTTAAAGCAGGAGGGGGGATGGAGTTTCAAACATTTAGTTGATCTGTTGGCTCAAATATTCCAAAGTTTAATTTGGGATTTCCTTCATAACATGGTTTGTTTGTTGCAACCTCTGCATCTTCTGGCTAAAATCTCCAGGCAGATATACTCTAAGAGATTTAATAAAGACTTTCTATAAAAACCTTGGTGAAGGTGCAGACACAGAGCCTCTGGAGTCAGAGAAAGGAGAAGGGGGCACACTTCCTTCAATGGGGAGGAAGTACTTCAGGTAAGTGTCCACCAGCACAAAGTACGCACTGTCTGTGCAGCTCCCTTGTTGGCCCTGGGGGTAGCTCTGAAAACAGAGTACAGCTTAGTTCTCCCTGTGAGATATCATCTGTAACAGCAGGTCATACCAGTTCATAGTTTTCTGTGTAAAGCTTAAAAGCTCTGTTATGTGCTGAACTGCCCCCGACTCAGCACAGTGATGACGTCAAGGACCAGGACAGGCAGCACTTTGGCAAACTCACCTTTGGTGTGATGAGACAGTACGCAAAATTGAACATGAAGAATTCAAACGGATCTGCAGAAAGTTAAGGAATGATTTCAGTGGCCAGTAAAGTCCATCTCTTGTCATACACTGAGTCTTACTGTTGTACTGCTGTGGCTGTAACCTCTTAATACAATTAGACAACTGAATAGGGAGGATACTGAGAGCGAGGTTGACAGTCAGCAGACCAGACAGGGGGAACTGCAGCTTGTTGTGGAACAGCGGGCAGTCGGGGAGAACTCCCTGTTGGATGCAGGCCTTCACAGGACCCTTCATACACACAGGGATGAGAATTCAAGCCACATGGTGAAATACTTTACGAGGATGAACACCAGATACTGTGCATTATAATAGATGGAACTGTAATATTTCATTACGTAGCAGTGAAGTTTGTCCTACGTCACTGACTCACACCAATTCAAATATTGTATTTCACAGAACAATGAAAACCTTTTTTTTCACTTGTTATAATCCAGTGGAACAGTTTCACTGAAACTGATGCAAATACCAAAAATCTGGACAGTACATGTAAGTATTGGACACCCTAACATTAACTCTTGGCCTGACAATAAACTGATCTCTGTTAAACCTTGGCATTTGATCAATGACAACATACTTACTGTAGAATTCTTCCTAAGAACCTACAATTAAAACTCTGTATAACACCAACTTAACTGTCAGTGTGTCCTGATGGTAGACTGTGGTGGAGGTACTGCTTCAAAACGAGCTCAGACCTTGTTTGGCATTTCTGTTCTGCAGCTACACGTTGCTGATCAGCCTGACGTATAGATGGAAGCGCGTAATGAACCTGAACAATTTATTGGTTTGGCTCTTGTGAGGTGTTTAGATAAAAATGTTTCTAACATAAACAAAATGTAAAACTTTCAACATGACATGAAGATGAGAAAGGCTTTCCCCCCTCTTTCCAGTGGCTATAGAGGGGACAGGGTGCACAAACCATGGGCTCTATTCATGGCTGTTCACAGTGCTGAGGGGACTGGTCTGGACCAGTACCCAAACACACCAGGAACTTCAGCTCACTACATGTAAGAGACCAATCAGATCAGACAGCATGTCTGCCCGAGTCTGGAGAAGCTAAAAATAAAAGGAGATGCTAACAGAGGGCTCGCGTATGAGCACTGCAGATGAGATGCCAATGCTTTCTCCAAAATAACTGTTCTAGAGATTAAAAACGTTAAGCTCACACACACCCTGAAGCTTTGTCTCGTAGTAACAGTGTAGGCAGAATGTGTAACGAATGACGCAGCACTGTGGAGACCAAAGTTCTTACCGGAAGATAATTGACAGATATTTCATATTTGTATTCTTCTGCCTGAAGTTTATACACAAGCTTCATCATTGGCCCACTGAAAATAAAATAAGAAAACAAAAAGAGCCATGTCTGAATTGATTCATAAAACACAACAATGAAGGACCAGCCTTACACTTGGCTGAACACGTGTTGCTACCTGGGGTTTAGAAATTCTATAGCGATGTTGTACTCAATGCTCCGTGAATGCAGGAGTCGCAGGTTCCAGCCAGAGATGACACCGTCCAGACTGCCAAACACACTCTCCACCAGCCAGGGGAAAATCAAGTGCAGCTCCTAAAGAGCAACACACACACACACACACACACACACGTATATTGTAATGAGAAACTGGCAACACATTTTAACAGACAGAGCTACACAGAGCAGCACAGACAAAACACACATACTCCAGAAGTGCTGGAGAAAGAAGGCGGCAAAGATTATTTAAACTGTGGACAGAGTTAGTTACTGAGTCTGTGACAACACACTCTGGACTGAAACAAATAAAATTTAGCCTGGTGAAAAAAATACATTTTGTAATTCTCCAAAACCAAACAAAGCAGACGAAAGCCGACTCTACTGAATGAAGAGTCTTCATTTAGTTACAGATGATTATAAATAAACAATGGCCATCAGAGCTGCCTCCACAGTAGCCCAGTATGCCACTGCCCTAACTGCACCTGAAGGTAATGAAGCCACAGACTACGGTGAAACCACCACACACACTGTGATCCTGCTGCCTTAAGCAAACACAACACCACAACACAGTTTGGGGGTAATGGTACCTTGGCGGGATATTCATCAATGATCCTGACCAGATCTTGGCATCGCTGGAGCAGAGGTTTGGTGGTGGAATCAGCTTTGAGGTTGGCCTAGAACAGCATCACAACACAGTCATGAGCACATGTGTGGACCCCGGAGCAACGAGAGCGACTCTGGGTAAAGACTGTACCCGTATGACAAATGGGAGACAGTAGACCACAGGTTGCATACCCGTTACCACCAGAGACTCACCAGTAGGAAACTGGGCTGCTGCAGCGTTGGAGCAGCCATGTCGGACAGTTGATGTCTTCCTCTGTAACAGTCCACAGGGATCCTACCTGTTGGCGATGAGCACACAGGACTTTGACATGTCTTCAGTTGGAGTTTGTTATCCACACAACTTGGCTTATTAACACACTCAGAACAAAACTTCTGTAAGCTCGTCACTAAAACAAGTGAGTGCTGTGGAAACAAGACTACACTGTTAATGCGACTACAATATATCCCACTGTTTAAGTGGAACACTCAGCAGGCGCACAATCCATCAATGATACACGCAAGTTAGCACGAGCGGGCTAGCTAGCGGCAGCTAACTGTCATAAGTAGAGCCCCAAACTGACAACAGGCGAGCAGTCGGCTTACAGACATAAACTACCGACGTGGAGTAAACTGGGACATTTCAAAATTAGCAACTCTGTACCTTCACCGCTGACAGAATTCAAAACTTCAGTTACATTAAGAGTCGTTCAAACACAACCAAACGTACTACGTCGTTGACGCTGATGTCTTCTTCTTTGGTGTTTACGTCACTTTGTCGCACTTTACTGCCACCTTCTGGGGCCGTATATAATCACCACCACTACTAGTACTACTATAACAACTACTAACAATAATATTAAAAATCAAACATAACAACTACTACTAACAATAATATTAAAAATCAAAATGATAATAATTCCTGTTCCATAGACTCAAGTGCCAGTTTATTGACTACACTAATGCAAAAACCTTTACAATGTAATCCAAATGTCCTGTAATAAAACCTTCATGAAGGTGATAATGGTTAGTTCTACATTTGTACATAGAAACTTGTTTCTGCATATGACAATAAACATTATGACCTTGTAACTGAGACTGTTAAAAAATTTTTTGGAGGCTACTGTTTGTGGTACCATTGAATTCTATTGGCAGTACTATTATTATTATTTTGTCAGCCCCATTTCTATAGATGAGGCTGGTCTAACAGAAACCTCACTCTGTTTATTTGCACTACGTGATGCTTTCCTATAAAACTACTTCTTTACTATTTCTCCCATTACATTTTAATATACATGTCCTTTGTTTCCTGTGTTGTTGCCACAGTTGATTTATTCTCTTTCAGATTAAGCCGTTTTCTTGTCAGTTTTAATCAGGACAGTGGTACTAACTGGCAGAACTGGGAGCTGCTCCAGACTAAATGCCCGTGGTTCCCTGCATGGCCATTGGTAATTTGGTTAACTACAGATATTTCTGGGGATATGCACCATTAAAAATTAAGAAAGTAAAACCCACACATCTTTTTCTTTGTTTTATTTTACATTTAAGCTTTCATTTAGTGACTTATTCACATACAATATCAAACAAACACTCAGGTCATGACCTCAGAGCTTATTAGAGTTGAGAAGTTTAAAAAATGTTCCCATGTTGTTTATGAGAAACACACACATTTATATAAACACAAAGAAACTGTACTAAATCCTAGTATACAAAGAAAGAAAACTATCAAAAATAGAGTTTTTAATATACATTGATATGACTAGTAGTTACATGGCAGAATTATTAAGCTATACATAATGTATTTTCAAGCAAGGTCCATGTCGTGTGCGTATCCACTGGGGCCTTTATTCAGTCCATTAGCTATGTACGAAGCATAGATCTGATCAGTGTAGATCAGTATTACAGCTCAGAGCAATATAAATACTGGTAGAAATCATTAAATGCTTTTGTTATACTGTTAAATGAGTAGCAGTAAATTGGGCAAACACTGTCTTTTAGTCTTCTGTCATTAAGTTATACTATATAAACTGCGCACCTGTGTGCGAGACCCTGATACATCTTCACCTGCATGTCTGCCCCGTCTGCCTCATGTCTGGTGCATGTTCTGGCTGTAACCATAATTTGGTAGAAAACAGACATACTAGAAAAAGATTGTTGGCATGTGAACATAAAGTAAAAGCAAAAAGTCTGACAAGGCTTCCTACTTCAAGGCACCAGTCTCTCTGAGAACACAAGTAACTTTAAAACCCCTGAAAACGCAGTTTCACATCTGAAATATTCGTCTATAATGATTAAATAAGCATAAGTTAAAGTTGGGAAAACATTTTAGTTATATTTGTCAAGAATGAATCAGAACATTTCACTAGCTGAGCCCTGCACACCTCAGTGAGAAAAGCTCAGAGACAAACGCAAAAACAAAAACCCTTCAAATAAACTTTACTTTAAAAAACTGCAGTAAATTTGGCTGAAACTGGTTTAATGTCAAATCCCATCACTTGCAGTAAACATCCAAAGAAGAAATCAGGTTTTCGAGGCCTTTAAACTCAGATCATTTTTGGCTTCATTAGCCAGATAATTATCCAACAAAGCAACAAATGTTAATGTTAAGGTACATCTAGACGCAACTCTCCTATTTTAACTGTGTTTGTTTGTGTTGAAATGGCCAGGTAATACAGGATACTGTCTTGTAAACTACCAGCAACATGCTTAAATATGTTCCCTGGCACTGCTGTGACTCTGAGGTGTGTAAGGAGCTGACTTATCATTCAGATACCTGATGCCACTGTCTAACACTTATTGCTGAACTACCAAACTCCAACTACTGTGTGTCCCAAACAATAATGAACTTTGCTGATGATGCCAATTCATAGACAAATAACTTTCTACATTTAGTGTCAAACTAGAGTTATACTATTCTGTTCTCCTCTGAATTTTACTGTCAGTCTTTAATGGCAAATACGGTGTCACTTTCCCACTCGGCAAACGTTCCTGACTGAACCGTTCCTTGTCCTCTGTGTGACCAGGACCTGTTGTCCATCAGCAGTCTCTGTGTCCTGCAGGTGACTAGAGGGGGCTCTCGGGAGGGTTGTTCCTCCTCACCCGGGCTTTCCTGTTCTCCTGTTTCAGCTTCAGAGTGCGCAGTTTCTGCTGCCGCCGTTTTTCACGGTACCACAGCTGCTCACAGTACTCGTCCACGCTCAGACTGTTGATCCCCACCATGTGCAGGTCTTTGTAGCTCCTCAGAGACAGCTGCTGAGGATGCTGGGGCAGCCAAGAGTTCCCATGTTCTGGCGGTGGAGGAGGTGGATTAGCGGGGCCCGACTGGCCGAGAAACCCGGCAACCCCCACCTTGGCTTGGCTAATCTTTCCAAGGCTGTGGTTCTGCTGGTAGCGGGCTGGGTGGAGGCTGTGGCTGGAGATGATGTGAACGCGGTATCGGGCCAACACCTGGCTGTAGGAGTGTTCGTGTGGAGGCCTGCATCAGCCAGCTCCAGGTGTTGAACCAGCAAGCCCCGCTTCATGTGGAACAAGCGGTCATCATCGCCCTGACGGAGCTGAGGGTGGGGAGAGGGTGAGATGAAATGGTGAGGTTCACATTGTCAGCTCTCGTCATGCACATGGCCACTGTTTACACACGACTCACCTGTTTGCCTTCATGCCTCTGCCTGAGCGTTTGCTGCTGCCTCTCTGTGTGCTGCACCGTCCATCTGAGCTCGGCCTGTGACGACCGAGGGACACACTCCAGGAAGGTGGAGTTTCCCTCCACACCGTACACCAGCTTCACCTCCACCGTGTCGGAATCTGACACAGAAAAACATGAGACACGCAAGAAAAACACATCAACATTTTATACAAACATTTATACAACATTTTATCCTCTCCCTCAGTGTAATAATCAATAGTGCCACTGATTTGGCTGGAAACCAGAGAAAACCGCAGTGACACAGTATGGTCCCTAGGGGGAGCCCTATGTCTGCAGAACAGAAGGGCTAAGACTTTGTAGTAGGCTGTACTGAGAGCAGCATATTTTTATGTTCAGCAATAATAAATGACCACATTTCTGTAAAAATAAATGATAAAAACTGAATAGTACAAATTTAAAGTAAGTTCTGGGTCCCAGTTCCACATAGTCACCATTTACACACAAGTAAATAAAACCAACATGTTTTTATACACTTTATACACACAGGAAATCATACAATGAATAATGACTTGAGAATGAAGGCGCCATTTAAAGTTCAAGAGCAGACATCAAAATGTTTTTCCAAGGATGTAATAACTGTTATTTGTTGTTTTCTGTTGACAAAGCTGTTTTACTACCAGCCACAGTTTTTACTGCTCTAAGTAACTTTTCCATTTGTCTTGTAAGGCTGCACACTGGCTGACTGGAGAATACCTGTGACATCTCCAGGATAAACATAATACATAGTTATAGTTAATATTTGCTTAGATTTAATATGCTGTACTTGAAGGACCTGGGACACAGAGACTGACTGCAAACAGACTGCATCATCAATATGCCTCTCAAAGATGGACGCAGTCCTGAAATAAAGCCTCTTCAATGAATACATCCTTGTACCATCATGTCTTATTTGGACTCTTCATATGGTTTATATTAAGACTGTTTAATCACATGTATTTATGTTAATAAAATCAGCTTGTGTGCTCTTTAAGCATTTGCTTGCAGCCATGAGAGTCACTCACAGTTGGGGGTTTATGCACCAGCCAAACAGCGAACCCATTGTGGAGTTTTAACTCCATCAGAACACTGAATCAATCACAGACGTATACGTAAATGGAAATATTCTGTTTCTAAGTATGTCAAACAAGCTGTTTGTCCATTTTGTTAGGAATGACAGGGAAACATTTGTTCATGTCAGACAATGGAAAATCTTACCGTCCTCTGTGACTGGACACTGACTCCAGGGGTCTCCATACTTTACGTCCTGTCTCCGCGCCCGCCTGACACACACACACACACACATGGTTTAGAACAGGTCTGTTGTTGTGCATGTTGTGTGCACTGTGTTCCTCTTTTTACACTTGACCTTATTGTTTTAGCTCTTTTCTTACTGTACAGTCTGTGCTGGACTATCATGTTGGGGACGGTGTGTAACGAGAGCAGACAGCAGACTCATCAGTTAAACAACAGCTGACAGCAGCAGACAGTGAACAGTAGTTGTGTGTAGATAAAATCATATAACAGCATTAAATCCTCCTCCTCGGTGTTGTTACTTCTGTCAGCTGCTCAGGGGTGAAAGTATGAAGCTACTGTGGTTACGACTGAGGAAACATGGAGCAATAACAGGCTATGAAAATACACAATGTTGTTTCAGCCATGGTAAAGACTGTTGTCATGTCTTCAAGGTCGACCTCCCTGTGCTTTTCTGCCCTCCCTCCCTGTCATCCCACTCCCTCCTATGGTAGCTTTAGGTTTTTTAGTCTAAAGTATTTGCAGGTCTCTCCCCTTTTCTTTCACTAACGCTCACTCTCACCTGGTCCCTTCATACTTAGATTTATGATGTTAACTCTCATTCTCTCATCGTTTCGGTCATGCCAGTAACATGAACTGTAACTTTGCATGGTGTAACAACAACAGCTGGATTTATACCTTACAGTTATCTTCATTAAAGGCTGGGGCTAGTTCAGGTTTCGGAGTCTAGGGAAGCACCGGTGAACAACACTTACATCACAATCAGTCAAAACATCGTGCAGAGCTGTGCTAGTATCAGTTCAGTTTCTCTGTTTTTCTGACAACTTGTGCATCTGACCTTCAGTGCTAGACTCCTACTGACATTTGATATTCTGGACAAATTAGTGACAAAACAAATATTCTGTATGTACTAGTCTCTGGGGTTTTATTTGATTTGACATACCTGTCAGTACTAACAACATTATGATAACTGAAACTGTGGTTCAACAATAAAACTTGGGCAAGTGTAATGCATATAGTTACATTATGAGGGACAGCAGATTTGCCTTACATAAATGTGCTGTGTAGGTTTGAATCAGTGTGCAGCTGTTACTCTTTCACCTCCGCTGTCCCAGTACAACGCGATACAGACTCTCCAGTCATGGCAGCAGCTCTGTGGGGCTTTGAGCTAAATGCTGATGTAAGCGTGCCGGTGGTGGGTATAATGTTTACAGCTTTACTACTGTAGTTTAGAGCGTTAGCATGCTAACATGCTAACTGAAAACTGCACACAAAGTGTAGCTGAGACTGATGGGATTATCATTAGTCTTAAAGGTATTTGAACATAAACTGAACTGTCAGTCTGATGATGGTGCAAACTTTAAATCCAATCCACTGATGTAAAGACATTTCACTGAAAACTGACCTGCCAGAGCAAAAACACAAAACCAGTTTCCTTGCAACAGGCATGTCTCAAAGCCCGGCTCGTCTCTGCTCCTGGATTTCTACATTTTCAGAAAAGCTAACTGCTGCTGGCTGATATGGATGAATGTCACAACTGGCCTCTGAGGCCACGACACAGCTTCACAGTTAAATAAATGTTTGTAGTAGTTTTGTAACTTCCTCTGGATGTTGTGTATCTATGTGTAGTTGATTTGTGTCTCGTTGTAATTGTTTTGAGCCTCTGTGGTCATCACTGTGTTTATTTGTTGCCATTTTGTGTGTCTATACAGTAGTTTTGTATCTTTTTGTGTTAACTTAATGGACTTTTCAACAAAAAGTATTAACAGTCTCTTTAAACAGAGGCTCTGATGCAAAGGCCCCATAAACCCTCGGCCCCCTACAGGCCCGCTCATTAATCCATTAGCACAACTATCAGCTGACCGTTGCTCCTGACGTCTTCGATCAGGTGGCAGATATTTTAAAACAGTAACTCATCATCATCGTCCAGTGTGCCGCCCCTCCTTCCCTCGCTACCTCCTGCTGGTGGGGAAGTATCTGGAGCAGGTCTGTCCGTCCCAGGAGCAGTAGGGGTCTCTGGCCAGGCAGCACTCAGCGCAGTCGCTCCCGTACAGCTCGCACCTCTGGAGCCCCAGCTGGGCCACGCCAAGCTCGCTGGACACATACAGCTGTTGCTGTGGCCAAGAAAAAGAGACCTTTTAAAGGTTTTGAAACATGGGTTCATCGTACCTCCTACCTCTATTAAATACAAGATGGAGGAAGATGAAAATGGAAGCTGAAGATCCAGATACTGAACATTACAACTTTAGATGCTCTTGTTTTTCAGCTGTCGTTGTCCAGGTTTTGTTTACTCTTTACTAGACGTGCAAAACGTCTGGCACCTTTAAAAAGTCACAATTAAAATCCTGTTTTAAAGGTCATTTTTATTTTAACTATTTAGCTTTAAGCATCTTTGTTATTATTATAAGTAATAACCTTAAGTTCCTGCTTGATTTTATGCTCAAGTACAATAAAAACCTCATTAAATGATTTCTACAAAATAAGACCAATTTTACATTTTGGATTAAAACTAAATATTAACCAAAATCACCAAGTCAACCAGAGATTATTCACAGTATTCATAACCATCTGCTGTTACATGAATACGTGAATTTTCTTGAATAAAACCGTTTTCCAACTAAACTTTATATGGTTTATTTAAGTAAACAAAGTTCCCGCTGATTGGATCATTATCTTTCTCCTTAAAGCAGTGCACAGTTTGTTAGCACCTACTGTGAAGCAGTAACACAACCATGACAGATGCACCTACTCTCTTGGTCGACAGCTCCATGCTCAGGATGGGAGTGGGACTCTGTGGGAGAAACAGGGAAACCGATTCATTTACATGCTTCATATAAAGCCGTTATGAGTCACTGAACAGAGGAGGAATAGCAGTTTATTTGGACACATGTCTACCTAATGAGATATACTGTATTGTTTTAAAGTTAAATAATGGCATGAATGACTGTTTCATTACACTTCACATGTAATAAACATGAGCCATTTCAAAGCTACATGAGGAAACACACCCTGAACTATTCTGATGTGCAGATGATCAGAAAACTGGAACTGTTCTTTAACTTTTATGCTCTTTAACTCCTCAGCCAGGACTGGCCCACAGCTTCCAGACAGACCTGGAGGAAGAGCAGCGGTTCATGATGGCACAAACTCTCTTTAAAGCACTAATATTTCAGCTTAGCGGAGGTTAAGGAATGTCGCTGCTGAGCGCTGCAGAGGTCAGGGCAGCTACTGAGATTACAGATCTAATGAGCCTCCTTCTGAGGGCTAAATTACCCCCCAGCTCCATTTTTCTAGCTCACTGACTTGCTAAGCGTTTCACAAAGGGAGTCACTGACCCCTGAGCAGAGGGTCTGCACTGACGGAGCACGAAGATAAAGGAGACCCAGAACACGAAGGAGGGCAGTGATCTGGCTATTCTGTGTTCTGTCACAGGCGACAAACTGACCCAGCATTCACACGCCTGCAGTCAGGGTGCAAACGTGGCTGTACAGCCAAAGTGTGAGGGAGGTGGAAATGGACTAGTTCCTGTTAGTTGTCAGTCATAAGTAAACAGACCATGTGCATCTAGCATCCTGTTTGTTTGCGGTTGTTTTTGTACATTGTGGTTTTCTGTCTTTCCTTCTTCCCTTCACCTGTGCTCTGTTTTAAAGCCTAATGTCTTCAGCTAATTTTCTATTTGTTTCCGTTTCCCATCTCTGCCATCCTCTCTTTCTTCTATTTTTGCCTTTCCTCTCCTCCTCCCTCCCACCCCTTTCTCCTCGTCTTCCCCATTAGCGTATTTAGAGGACCTTGGGAAATATGTGCCCTACTATCTGTTTCTCTGTTTAGTGGCGTTATCCCAGACAAATATGTTCCATTGCAAACTCGAGGCCTCACAGCACATCAGACGATGCAGGGCTGGCAGAGCAGCACCGGGAGACGCCAAGCCAAGCTCCGACTGTAGCCACAGAAGTGCTGTGTAGGTAGAGCTGTGGCTAAAACTGTCGCCTTGCACTTAAAACAAACACGACTTGATTGATGACTTTCAGTGTAACATTTAATATAATTCAACAAATGGAAAAGACAGAGAGAAAAATACTGGCAGCCTTAACCTAATATTTTCTAGCAGACCCTGTTGAGACGAGCACGATGACCAAGTGCTTTATGTAGCTTTTAATGAGGCGTTTCACTTCCTGGCTCTTGGTGACAAACTGCTCCAGGTCTCTCGGACTTGATGGAACCTGAGCCAACTGGGAGTTTCTCTCTTCCCATAGATGTGAGGTGGGATTCACATCAGATGCTCCAGTGTTTCTTCTCCTCACTCATGGTGTTTCTCTGTAGAGCACTTCGATCATCTTCTGATTTCACTGTGTCCTGTGCAGAATCAAGATGCAGCCATGCAGCTCCACAGCATCACTGATGTCCCCCATGTCTCACACTGGGGAGGCTGCTCTTGTCTGTGAAAGCTTCAGTGTTTCTTCTGTGAACACAGAGCTGATGTGACAGACCAGACAGCTTCATTTGGCTTCATTTGCCCAGAGGACGTTCTCCCGCCACTTTCATTCAGAAAGCCACATGTGCTGCGACTGGGCATTGTTGGACCTGGATCTCAGAGCTCAGCTTGTATCTGTTTGGAGGGTTTCCATGGTTCAAACTCTCCTTCTGTTCAGTCTGGGCTCAGTTTGTCCCTTCACGTCCAGGGAGGTCGGCTTCCCTCCCATGGAACATGGAGCAGCTGCAGTCACAGGAGCATCCAGCTGCTTGGAGACGCCCTGTAGCCGTTACCTTGATTCTTTTCTTCTTCACCTCCTCAGACAGTTCGCTGCTGTTCTAGGGTCAGTGTGGTCACACAGGGAGGCCAAACAGCACAGTGAGGACTTTTCTCCTCTATCCACTCACCCCAACCGGCCAAGGCAGAAGGCCGCCCACCAAGAGCCGGGGTCTGTCGGAGGTTTCTTCCGTTAAAGGGAGTTTTTCCTCCCCACTGTCGCCAAGTGCTTGCTCAAGGGGGATTTGTTTGGTTTTCCCTATGTAATAATATTGATAACAGTAAGGTCTAGACCTTACTTTGTAAAGTGTCCTGAGATGACTTCTGTTGTGATTTGGCGCTATACAAATAAAATTTGATTTGATTTTCTCCCCGTAAACAGGTTGATTATAAGAACGAAGACACATGTGACGCTAGCTGAAGACAATGATCCACATGAAATATGATTACAACCCACTTATCAGGAACACAAAGCTCCTTTCACAGCTTCTTGTTTGGATTCAAACCAAATGCTGCGGGTGTGCACGACAAAAAACAATTTTAGCTTTTAACACTTCAGGAAGAACAGAGCCTTGTTTCACCGATGCCTTTAGCCTCATCTGTACATGTATGTGTGTTTGACCCTGCACCGGGGCTTTAAAGGTTCTGTGGTTTAATGTGAGTGGGAGAAATAAACACAGGAGTCCTCAGGTTATAAACGAGGTGTAGACTGCTGGGACAAAAACACCTTACATGCCATTTCATATGAGAAGTCGTGCTTTTTTCTAATCAGTAAAGGATCATTTGTCACTAGTGTGGTGTTTTAGGAGGAGCTTTTACTGACAGCTGTAACACACCTGGAAGACCGTCAGCTCCTCCAGAATGATCTCCTCCGTGTCCCAGTTGTCCTTGATCACCGACACTGCCTTCACCACCTTCCCATCATCTGGAAAACAGCATTTACTTCCACATCAGTACTCACACATGTACTCTAGTGCACATACAGCCAACGTCTGTTCACTGAGTAGAGAGGCTCCAGTGTATTGCACATGCACGCTGACTTTCTAAACTCTTTTACAGTGAAAACAGTTTGGAAAATCAAATTAAGCTCACCTAGTACCCAACTAATGACCTCACGGAGGTAAGGAAAACACTAAGAATGGAAAATGGGGGAGATGAGATTAATGATGGTTGAACAAATGGCCTGTGGGTTTCTGTTCCTGCTGTGCCGGCTCATGTTGCACACAGGCTTCACTAACTGGTGCTAGCTTTCAGGGTTACTGTTGTGTTTTTAATCCTGTTATTTTTATTGGCTTTTGGGATATGGAAGCAGCATGTGACAGTAACACGAATACATGGATGCTGCGTTTGTACCCTGGTACAAAATGGCTTCAACAGTCACTGCTCGTCACAGCGCCTCATGTCAAAGAAGGAACATAAAATGTAAAAGGAGAGCAAATCTGTCCAGAAGGACGGTTGTAGCACGTAACTAAACAGCTATTTCAGCTTAAGAACAGCACACACACCCTGTCAGAATGTTCTCTGGGAACCTCTTAAACCTCAGAGAGCTCAGTGTGGGAAACCTCCTGTGTACATGTGTGCAAGTACCAAACTGGACCTGCAACACACTGTGTGTGTGTGTGTTTATACTCATGTTTGTGACTTTCAAACAAGCCTACCCTACAAGGACAAACGATGCGCTCAGATGTCCACGGTCAGCCTCTGGTTCAGAAGCTTGTGGGGGGCGGCTGTGGCTCGGGAGGTACAGTGGGTGGTCTCCTAACTGGAAAGTTGGCAGTTCGATTCCTGGCTTTTCTAGTCCACATGTCAAAGTGTTCTTGAGCAAGACACTGAACCGGTGGCGTCACCAAAGTGTGAATGTGAATGAATGAATGTGAAAGCGCTTTGAGTGCTGCACTGCATGGGAAAGACCATTGACCATGATCTGTTCCCGTTGCCTTCTTAACATCTGAAATGATAGTCTGGTGTCGTTGCTCTTGTTTGTTTTGTCTGTTAAATGACGGTGACTTCAACGCATCGCCTCAGAATAACCTGCAGACTTTTCAGAAGTGTATATTTTACCTGTAGGGTGAACCGCCGTGACTTAAACTCATGGCTAAGCACTATAACAGATTAAAAGGAGACAGTGTCCTCCTTTACAAACAACAGAAACACTCATCCACCAGAAGAAGGTCAGTGAAAATCACAGCACTCGAAAAAGCAGAAGGAGCATTTATCAGGCAGGTGAATGTGCAGTTGATGGGGCGATGAGAGACGCTGGAGAGGAATTCACTTAGGGGAGATGTATGGAGCCAGCAGAGCACCTCTGGCCCCTCAGTTAAATAACCTCCCCCATTTATCACACACATACAACCATTCACGGCCAAAACACACGCAGGACTGCAACTATGCAGCTTCACACTCAGCAGGTTACAGCAGCTGGAGGCTCACAAAGAGGAAAACACACCTGCCAACACACGTGTCTATTTTGGCGCACATCCAGCACCTTTGATACTTTTTCAGTTTGCTCATGAAAACCCTGAGTGGAAAATGGCAAGTAACTAGAAACACTGCAACAAAGTTTTGGAAGGGAACATCACTGACTCACCTTTTCTGACACTTTTCTCTGGAAACCCAAAGGAACACAGAGCAGACGCAGTCACCCTGTCAGTGGTGAACCTCTCTGTCCACCTTCACAACCACGTTACCCAGATAATGAATGGATGCAGGATGTTTGCACACAACAAACAGAGCGCTCTCTGTCACCTGAGTGACACGATGGAGACCCTGGCACTTCCTTTTCTGCATGGTCCAGTTCTGTTTGGTTCCCCCTCTCTGCCTCTGGTGTTTCTTCTCCTTCACACCCTGACACACACTCCCCATCAGCTCAGCTCAGCTGTCACTCAGCCGTTTCTCACTGTTTTGTTAACATTTCAGCCTCTTTTCACTTCCTGTTATTCCCTGTCCTTCACTCTTTGTCCCAAACTCCTGATCCCTCCTCATCCTCCTCACCTGTGCCCAGGTGTAAGACGTCATAGGGGCCGTCCTCAGCGTCCACCCTGTTCACCACCACTCTCTTTAACATATAGGGTGCGTTGACCCGGGTTAAAACCGGTCTGCCGCCGAGGGGCAGGACGGGCTCCCACATCAGCTGGTGCTGCCGCATGAAGCTCACCACCTCGTCTGGGAAGTCCTTGGTGGACTTGTGGAGGACATCGTAGGTCTCACTGGGACACTGGAGGACAAGTCAGAGGAATACTATGAGAAAAAGGTGAATGGGTTTACACAGAGGACAAACATCAGAAAACGAGACACTATGAACAGCATCAGTCTTAGATCTTTAAGGTTTTATGTCATTAGGGAGGGGATACTAGAATTACTGCCTCGTGCTCGTATGCTTCTGCCATCCAGTGATCTTGACCTTTGACCAAAATCTAATCAGTTCATCCTTGAGTCCAAGTGGACATTTGTGCCAAATTTGAAGTTTCTGAGATATGGTGTTCACAAGAATGGGAGGGAAACCTGAAAACACAAGGCCTCTGGACACGACTGTTGCTGGCACTGAGGCAAAAACACTTCAGTTACATTCAATTATTTTTTTCTAACCTTTGAAATCAGTGTTTGAAAACTATCAGTGTCCAACTAAGCCCGACTCTATGTATGTTTACTTGGTGTGCAGCTGTTCAGCTGCTATGAATGATGCTCTTTCCTCTCTGGAGAGATGACTAATGACCTGAAATCATTTACCATAATGCAGCACAGTGTAAATTGAGCTCAGAGCAGTCAAGAGTCGATGCGATGATTGTACTTACAACAGCTTAAGCGTATAATCGTATAAAAGCTAAACACGTCTCTCCGTGGCCCAGTGTTTAGGCCTTTCAGTCACACAAAGGTATTTTTAACCTTTTCACATTTCAGATCAACCTTGAGTATGCTCCCAGTTACACACTCGATACAGACAAGACAGCACCAGAATCTTTTTCTTTGGCCAGAAATATCAGAAAATGAGAAACAAAGAGCAGCAGGGGTCGAACAGATGGCAGACGGGGGAGGAAGGTGAGGAAATCAAAGGGCGGAAACCAGATGTTGGTCTGTAGTGTCATACACTTCACTCGATGGAAGATAGAAGGAGAAAAGAGGAAGAAGAGATAATGTGCTGGATGAAAAAAGAAAGATGAAGTGTGAAGGAGAGAATATTCTGACAAGCAAACAACACTGACGCCATTATGTTCTGTGCATGTGATCAGGGGCTGTGACCACAGCGTCTCTGTGACTGTTTCATGCTTTTAGTCATCCGGCCAACCCTAACCTCCCCCACCTCCACACACACCCGAACCCTGACATGGCCGACCTCTCCTGCAATCATCCACAAAACAAACGCGCTCCACAGAGGAGTGAATTCCTCAGCAGGGAGAGTGAAATAACTCCTGACCCTCGAACACTAAGGCCTCCTCCTCCCTGACAAGATGACGTTTCCCAGAGGAGTTTGCGTCTCAGGTGTTAAACCCCCAGAGGTTCCCTCTCTCACAGCTTCATCAGCTTGTTCTCATCAGACACGTTACGTGAGGTGGGAGTCTGGCCTCACCGGTAACTCTGAGTTCTTCACCCAAACACAAAAAGCATCCTGTTGGGCGATTCATTCCATAACCACACCTGTGAATATCTGTATTACATATCAACACCTATTCCTGCATATCACATATTTTTACATTCTGTCTATGAATAGGTTCATTGTGCAGCTATTTTCAGCCGACATGTGATTCCAATGCAGCACCTTCCCCTGTGAACACGATACATGCTAATACTGCATCAATCATGCACAGAAGCTTTGCATGTGGCCCTAGTCCTTCAGGTTTCCTTCGCTTCGTTTGTGGCTGAGATTATATCTGGGGCTCAGTGGCCGACCGGGGCCTTGCTGTGTGGAGTCTGCATGTTCTCCCTGTGCCTGCCTGGGTCTCCTCCACCTTCCTCCCACAGTCCAAACACGTGTAAGTTGGTTTGACTGGTCACTCTAAGCTACCAGTCGGTGTGGGTGGTTGTCTGTCTCTGTATGCCAGCGTGTGATAGGCTGGTGAAGCAAAAATAATTAATCCTACATTAAAACCAGACAAAATGAACCTAACTTACTATTTGTGGTGGCAAATAGAGTTTTGTTCCTAGAACAAATGAATATTTGGATCTGACACAAACATTTGTTGGATTTGTAGGAAATGTGCGTGCGCGTGCTTACAGTTCCAGGCCTCGGATAAGGGATGCGGCCCTTGTACTCCACCCAGCGATAGTCCGGCCCTTCTTTATGGGCAAAAGGTCCGTTGAAAGCAGCACGGATAGACGCCATGGAGTAGACACACACCGCTGAACCACGAAATATAGAGCTGTGGGAGAGAGAGCAGATGTTGGTGTTGGCTGCAGTAGAGAGGAACAGTCGAAGAGGTCGAGGGAGTGAGGGACAGAGCATGAAAGGAATGAGAGTGAGTAAGGGACAGGGAAGAGAAGGGAAGGAGAAGGGGAACTCATCACAATATTCAGGAGATACTTCAGGACCAGCAGGCACTCAGAGACAAAAAGACAGAAAGACAAAGGAGAAGGAGGAGAGGAAAGCTGGAGAAGACAAAAGCAAAAGTAGATCAGATAGAAGGAGGACAGATAAGAGGGAGGAAGAAGGAAAGAAGGAAAGGAGGAATGAAAGGATGCAAGGGAACAAGCAAGGGAGGAGTGTTTTAAAACTCAGAGCTACAATAACACAAGCAGCTAGACCTCTTCACCTCTGACCCAGACGTCCACCCACACCTACTCCCGTACACTGCTGGGCGTGCACGAGCCGGCCTGGCTCTGAGTGTGCACGTTAAAGTGCTCTGCTGCTCACCCTGACCAACTGTCTCCACAGGTTTCTGTCCCTTTTTACCAGTTTACACAGAGCTCAGCTCAAAAAGCCAAACTGGGCCGAAGCAAACAAACAACTTCACAAAAATGCAGAAAAGATCTTTCACTCATGTACATTTCACTCATGACGTGTTCTTTAAAAGGCTGACTCTCATATCTCTTCAAAATAAAATTAAGGTAATTGAATATTCTCCATCAAACGTACAGAGCAGGCACCCCACCATGATGCAGGAACATTTACACAAACGGATGAACAAATGAGATATGAAATGCTGTGACTTGTTTGTACAGATGTGGACTCATTTGTGAAGCAGAGCATGTTCTACTGTTGTTTTCAGAGAAAATATATCAACTTGTGTTTTTGTAGTGTTGGACTAAATTTACCAAATGTCATGTTACAGACACAGAACCAATGTGGACAATAACTGGACTGTGATTTACAACAAAACACTTTAATGTGGATGATTAACCTGGATCTGACCCCAGTGTCTCACCTGGATGTACTGAAGACGCCATAGACGGTGGGATTTTGAGGATCCTTGGTCTCCAGAACAAAGACGTCCTCTGGAAAAACACAGCAACATTATAAATCAGTTCAGCTTCTGAAAAGCATAAAACAGATTATTTATGTATCATTAAAATGTGTGTTTCCCAGATTGAGGGGTGAATTATTGCCAGATGCATGTTAATATGCCATTCTTTTGACAACCAGTCGCCTGGAAACTGGTTTGAACTGGTCTAACCTGTATGAAAGGGTTTCACTGACTGACTGATTTGGCAAAGATCCATTTTAACTGGGAAAATGTGTCATTCATTCTACAACATGACCTGCTTAAGTAAATACAAGTGGAAGCTAAATTACTATAAAACGCCAAACAAGAGCAAAGGGTTTGTCAGAGAGTCTGTAGCTGCGTGAGCTGGGCGTCCTGTCAGGAGGGGTGAAAAGGAGAGTGAAGGAAAGGTGGAGGCACTTATGACTTTTCTGTCAAATAGTTTGGGGAGAGTCAGATGAACCAAGAGGAAAGAGAGCCAGGACACAACACCACAGGTCAGTTCCAGGGGTTGAACAAGAAGAAGGACGGTGGTGAGGAGGCAGCCGCACAGGAAGGAAAGGAGGGAAGGGAGCGAGTGTTACCGAGCTCGTCAAACTGGGTGTCGACTCCAGAGGGGCCGGGCACAGAACAGACCAGTCTGGCTTTGAGGAAGGTGGTCCAGCGGTTGATCAGACTCCTCCTCCCTCCAATGTCATTCTGAATGGAGACAGACACATTGAGACGAGAGGCTTCTCTGGCGTGGACGTGACAAAACAGCTGAAACCAAACCTGACTTCCTGTGCTACCAGTTGTGTTGTTTGGTAGAAATCATTAGGTACAAAAGAGAAAAGATTACAGCTGGGAGTCTCAGCTGATTTTCACACTGCCTGTTGTTTACTGTGAAACACAACACAGCCCTGCTGGTCCTGTATGACTGTGACCCTGACTTGTCTTATGCTTGAGGCAACAGCACACACCGGATGTGTCGGTGCTCCTACCTTGCAGACCCGAGCGACGCGGCTGTACACCCTCTTGTCCCACTGTCCGGCCTCCACCGCTCGCTCCTTGAAGAAGAAGTAGACCTTGTCGTCATCTGGGCTGTGAGTGTCTGGGATGGAGAAGGAGCCCACAAACTCCGGCTCTGACAGGAGATGGAGGGGGACGAGTTAGATAACGTATGTTTGTGCAGGGCCTGTAGTTTAATGGACCAAAGTGTAAAGCTGGAGAGTGGAAGCGGTGTCACCTGTGGATACACCCTTTTACACCGATTTACTGTGTGACAACAAGCTGAAGTCTCAGTGGGACTGGAGCTTCTCACCATTCAGCCAGTTGTGGTCGTAGGCTTCAGTGCGGATGTAATGCTGACTGCTGCCCCGGATCAACGTACGGAAGATGGCGGCGTTGGCTCCCATGAAGTCTACTGAGGTTCCTGCATAAAGTTCACCATCTAGGGAGACAGGAAGACACAACCTCCATCACCACTAGTCACACCAGAACAACGTTTGCACTAAACTGAGCCACAGCTGTGAGATTTCATTCATGATGTGAGATTTATTGCCCCACTCAGAGCGATGACATGAGTCGACCCCTGCAGAGATTATTGCATCATTTACAGCATGACGGGCAGTTTTATCCCCCTGCTTAGCCCCTTCACTAGACAGGGCTCTTTTTTATCAGATGTATTAACGTGCATGCTGTGTGCAACTCTCTCTGTTAGCAAGCAATGAAAAAGATCAGATTTCTTAAAAACCGTTATGGAGAAGATAAACTGCTCTGCAGTACGTTGGATCCTGTGAAGCCTCAGAATCCACAGCTCATGTTTTAGGTCTGTGATGACACCGTGATGCTGTGCATGCTGTGTGTGTAGCGTGTGGTGGTATGGTGAGGTGGTGGTTAGTGCTGTCGCGTCACAGCAAGAAGGTTCTAGGTTCGAGCCCGGGTTAACCTGGGGCCTTTCTGTGTGCATGTTCTCCCTGTGTCAGTTCTCTCCGGGTACTCTGGCTTTCGCCCACAGTCCAAAGACATACAGCTCAGGTTGACTGGTGACCCTAAACTGTGAGTGTGTGTGGTTGTTTGTCTACATGTCAGCCCTGTGATAGACTGTTGACCTGTCCAGGGTGGACCCTGCCTCTGGGACTGGCTCCAGCCTGACCCTCTTCAGGATAAGCGGTATAGATAATGGATGGATGCATTAAATCTAAATAATGTGGGTTTTACCTGATGTTTTTGTTGATAAAGGCGAAGAAGTGTCCTTATTGTTTAATCTCTGGTTTTAACAGGCTGAGTCGTTTTGTTTGTTACACAGTGAACAGATTCTAAACTTCCCCTCGTGGATTCATGTGTAGAAATGATTTAAGTTTTTGTCCCATTAGTGACATAACCATGGTGTGTGTACTTCAGCTGTGAACGCCTCTGTTGACCCAGAACAGGCATCTGCCTCCAAAATGATTATTCCAAGCCTCAGCTTTTTAAAATTATACTCTGGAGTGTGAGACAACAACACGGAGCTGTGAGCGCTTTAAAAACTGTAAATGCATGATGTAATCTTTTAACACGCACATGGAGCCGAGGTGTCACCTTTGATTCTCGTAACAAATGTTGTTTTCCCTGATCAAACTGAAAACATACTGAACCTTTGCAAACACAGACTGAATCCAGATCCCTGCAGGATGCTGGCTGGTTGTCCATGTCAACAAGCAGTGTCCACTTGTCTCATTTTAAAATACTTTGATATTTACAGTTTTCCCTGATGATGCTGTAAATGCAATGATTTTCTGTAATTGTTATAGTTTTCTTTAAAAATGTGACTCTTATGATTGAACGAGCTGTAATTATACATTACAAATGTAAACTAATACAATAAGTTTTAAAAGGGACAGTGTCATAAATAATCTAATAACTGTGTGAATAATAATAATAATAAAAAGTATGTTACACACAAGGAATTTGTTTCCGGTACAGAACCGAGGCAGCCATCTGCGGCGCCAAAAGGACTGTTCCCTGACCGGGAATCAAACCTGGGCCGCGGCGGTGAGAGCGCCGAATCCTAACCACTAGACCACCAGGGACAACATGTCTGGTCACAGGCTGAATATTGAATCCACTCATTAAGGGACAACCCGAGCCGCCTCCCCCTCTCACACTCCAGCCGGTGCGTTTGGCGCTGGAGGACACGTCCTGTCCCTCCAGCTGCCGAGACAGACACAACTATCAGGGTTTAAATAAACCCGCGCCGATTTCATGGTTGAAGTGTTTTATGTCCTTCGTGTAGCAAAGGGCAGCGGCTGACATCAGCATATGAAATAAGTCAAGGCGGCCACACACGCGCAGCGTCAGCGGCGAACAGCGAGACAGTGGCCGGACTGTACGCTGCTGTACACTAGTGTCAGCACAGCCTGAGTCCGGCTCTAAGAGAAGGGTCTAAGAGAATGACAGGCAGTGATTTAATGTAGAGTGTGTGTGTGTGTGTGTGTGTGTGTGTGTGGACCCACCAGTCAGTCGAGCAGTGAAGGGCTCTCTGGGGCTGAAGGGACACTTCCCCCTGCCCGACTCCACTCTGTGTGACAACAGGAACAACGGCCCCTACAGGACAGACACAACGTGTGACCCACACACAGAAGGGCGATGGATTTCTTCTTCTATGATTGTTGACTGTCAGCACAAACATGAAGCTCTCCACCGAGGGACTGACACCAAATGTGACTAAATTTGTCCTCTGCTGTAAAACATCTCACACATTCATAACTAGAAACTTTGCACTATGGATGAACAACAACTGGCCGAGTCTCCTGGATCTACACTGGAGATTCTACCAAAAAGGCCCCGAGTCTCCTGGATCTACACTGGAGATTCTACCAAAGTCACAACACGTTTAGTTTTAGTCACATGAGATTTATCTGAGCACTTCTCACGTTGTTTTTCTGTGTTAAACCTTTAATAAACATGACCAAAACACGGTTTTCTTTCATCGGTAGTAATCAAATTTAATCTTACAGATAAATAAAAAGATCAGCTCAGTTATTAGATGTTAACCTGCGTTTCAGTGTCACAGGTTTAGTTTGAGTGGTTTGTAAAATGTGAATCAACTCAGCAGAACGTGAAACATTGTGAAGCTGCACGTCAGGTTCAGTATCACACTATGTGTTGTATCAGTGCACAGGAAGAGCAGCTCTATGAAGAGAACACATGAACATCACACGTTCCCCTTTACCTCTGCGCTGTGGCTGAGGTGCACATACGTGCACTGAGGATGGAAGGCGCCGGTTCCACACGCATAAACGTGGGTCTTATTGAAGGGCTGCAGCAGTCGCACAAAGTTCGCACAATCCGTCTGGAAATCAAACATAATATTTACTTTTTTATTTTCATGTTCGGTTTCTTCACCGAAGAAGTAAGAGGTAAGAGAACCAGCAAAGCAGAGACGGAGGCCTGTCCCACCTCACCCAGGGACTGTCTGGTTCCCCAGCTCTGCACCAGTATCCCTATTTTATGTTCCATTCCTAAGAGGCCATGAACAATATTCATTCTAAATGTTACTATTTGTTGTACCAGTGCTCCAATGGCCTTGTTTTAACTTAAAGAAGGGACTAACAGGGTGATGTGTTGGCTGAGCCAGGCCTGAGTGACCGACCCTTACCTCCAGACTCTTCCCGGCCTGCCTGCAGTGCTCCACGTGCTCTCTGGCTGCAGGCCAGTGGACCTGAGAGGGAAACAAACATCTGATGCTCAGCTGCAACTCTCTGAATCACAGTGTTGGGCCTGATGCAAGAACCAGATCTGTTCCTTAAGAGAATGTGTGCCACTGTGTTTGTGGTTGTCTCGTACTCAGAATTTTCTCTTGTATATGAACGAACTCATCACCGACTGCAGCTGGAACATTCTCTGCTCCGATGTGTTCCATTGCCCCGTGACTCATCTGTGAGGCGGCTGACGCCTCACAGATGAGTCACGGGGCGTTTTGCTTTACACACCTCTGTTAGTGTTTGACCCCATGGACCGTGCCCTCTGTGGTTCTGTCACGGCTGCTCTGAGGACACGTCACTGACATGTGGACTGTTAACATTTTCTAATGCGACACTGACTCTGGTCCTGCTGATCATTGAAGCTCTGAACTGTCAAACTCAGATTTTCACCCTTGTTTGACATTTTAGTGAATGAAACCGAGCAGAATGAAGCAGAACAGGACGTCCTTATATGGTGGCGTTCATTGGTATAAAATGAGCAGGTTACGATAAGAGAGTTTGGTAAATCCAACTCGGAACACTTGTACAAAGCCTCACAGAGAAAAAACTAATTTAGGACAAGAGTGTGAACATGTTCTTGCACGAGGCTCATGGTCTTTATCACATGTTTTTGTTGCAGGTTGAGCTGAGATCAGCTGTGTGTGTGTCTCACCGTGTGCGTGGGCAGATCCAGGCTGTCGGACCTCAGCAGGTAGATGTGGTCTTTACCGCCGACCAGCAGCCAGCCTCGGTCCTCGTCCAGCAGCAGGGCCTGGTACCCCCCGCTGACCCCAGCCTCCCAGAAGACAGCTGAACTGTTCCTCAGGTCTGAGAGAGGGAGAAGGCAGCATTTTGTTTTACTCTGCCTCTTTCTGTCTCCAGTCACTACATGCTACAGTACAGTGTTGACTATCCAGCAGTAAGGAAGTAGTTAAAGTAGCTCTGGGTCAAAGTTCTACATTAGTAATGTAATCACATCACACTTACAGGGAACTAACGAGTACTTTTACTTCTCCTAAGTATTATAACACTTACTAATACCTCAGTACCCTTGTATTAAACTAAAATACTGTATGCAAGCTTTTAGCGTATAGTAAAGGCCACTACTGTGTCTCTCTCTCTCTTTCTCTGTCTCTCTCTCTCACACACACACACACACACCGTCCATCAGTCCTGCAGTGTCCCCCTCCTCTCTCTCTCTCCCTCACACACACACACACACACACACCGAGCCTGTAGCC